AATTATAGAACAGGAAAATAAGGTATAGTTAGGATCCATTTGGGGGGTATATATCTGATTGTAGAACAAATAATCTGTAAGTGTACCTGAAGATTATTGTGAGTTTATTTTTATTTTAAAGACAGTTCCGTGTATAGGCTATATTAGCCTATGTCATTTCTCAGATTGCATGTACTCACTTCTTAGACTAAAAAGTAAACCAATTTTTAAACCAAAATAAGAATTAAACACATACTGTCAAAATTAATGGTATAGACCTTCCTCTCCCAATTTTGGCAGTGCAAGTTATATTGAATTTTTAGTTTATACCAATTGCTCCACCTGACAGTTATTTATAGTCATTTTTTACTTCACAATTCTTACTCATTTATTTTAACAATTCTTCTCTATACTGGCTTTTCTGAATTTATATGAAGGAAAAGTATGCAAATGAATGTATAATAGTGTATATAATTTTTTACAACAGCATTTTTAATATTAATGTCCTATTTTATGATAATTAGGAATAAACTTTTGTTTCCTTAGTAAAAACATATTTAATTTGAAAGTATTCATATGTGTCCTTTGTAGTTAGCTTCAAATATTTGAATTTATTCTTTCATCGATGCCTTTGTTTTAAAAAATATGAATGAATGAATAATATCTCATGTGAAGCTATATGAGACCATTTAATTTTTTTTTTTTTTTTTTTTTATCTTCACCCAAGGACATTTTCCCATTTTTTTTGTTCAGGTAGAGTGGAAGGGAGAGAGGGGAACAGAAAGAGAGAGAGAAACATCAATGTGAAAGGAACACATCGAGTGGCTGCCACCCGCACGACCGACCAGGGCCCGGGACAAACTGCCAACCGAGGTACATGCCCTTAGCGGGAACCGAACCCGGGTCTCTCAGGACCGAAGGCCGATGCTCTAACTGCTGAGCCAAACCGGCCAGGGCTGAGACCATTTAATTTTTTATTCATTCTTTTTAGCTATTGTTTTCATCAGTAACACTGGGTGACAACTGAATATTCTAAGTATAGATAGGATTACTCAAATGAATCATTACACATTTGTTTTTTGGTTTTGTTTTTTAATTCTTTTTTTTTAAATCCTCACCCAAGGATATATTTTTATTGATTTGAGAGAGATAGAGAGAGAAACATAGATCAGTTGCCTCCTGTATATGCCGACTTGGGATCAGACCCGCAACTTAAGTATATGACCTGACTGGGAATTGAACCTGCAACTTTTTAGTGTATGGGATGATGCTCCAACTAACTGAGCCACCTGGCCAAGGCTAAATTTGTATTCTTTTTTTAAAAATAATTTTTATTTTTCAATTACTGTTGACATACAATATTATATTAATTTCAGGTATGCAACCTAGTGACTAGACATTGAATAAGTTACTAAGTGATCATTCTGATAAATCTTGTACCCATCTGACACCATACATAATTATTAGAATACTTTTGACTTTATTCCCTATGCTGTAATTTACATCCCCATGACTGTTCTGTAACTACCAATTTGTACTTCTTAATCCCTTCACCTTTTTCACCCATATCCCCAATCCCCCTTCCCATCTGGCAGCCTTCAGAATCTTCTCTGTATCTGTGAGTTTGTTTCTGTTCTTTCTGTTTATTTTGTTTTTTTTTAGATTCAGTTGTTGATAGATATGTATTTATTACCATTTTATTGTTCATATTTTTTATCTTTTTTTTTTTTTCTTATTCTTCTTAAGAAGACCCTCTAACATTTCCTGTAATAATTGGTTTGGTGGTGGTGAAGTCCTTTAGCTTTTTCTTCTCTAGGAAGTACTTTGCCTTCGCTTCTAAATGATACCTTTGCTGGGTCGAGTAATCTTGGTTGTAGGTCCTTGCTTTTCATCACTTTGAATATTTCTTGCCACTCCCTTCTGGCCTGCAAAGTTTCTGTTGAGAAATCAGCTCACAGTCTTATGAGAGGTTCTTGGTAGGTAAGTTACTGCTTTTCTCTTTTAAGATTCTTTCTTTGTCTTTTACCTTTTGCAATTCAATTATGACGTATCTTGGTGTGGGCCTCTTTGGATTCATCTTGTTTGTGACTCTCTGTGCTTCCTGGAATTATGTCTATTTCCTTCATCAGGTTAGGGGGAAGTTTTCTGTCATCATTTTTTCACATAGGTTTTCAGTTTTTTGCTCTCCCTCTTCTCCTTCCAGCACCCCATTATGCAAATGTAGGTATGTTTGAGGTTGTCCCAGAGGCTCTTTACACTGTCTTAACTTTTCTGGATTATTTTTTCTTTTTGCTGTTCTGATTGGGTGTTTTTTGCTTCCTTATATTCCAAATTGCTTTTTTGATTCTCAGCTTCATCTTCTCTACTGTTGATTGCCAGTAAATTATTCTTCGTTTGAGTTAGCGTATTCTTTATTTCTGACTGATTCTTTTTTATGGTTTCCATGGTTTTTTTTTTGTTTTTTTTTTTATGCTGTTGAAGTTCTCACTAAGTTTATTTACTCTTCGCCTAAGTTCATTGAGCATCCTTATAACTAGTGTTTTGAACTCTGCATCTAGTAGATTACTTGTCTCCATTTTGTTTAGTTCTTTTTCTGGAGTTTTAATCTCTTCTTTCATTTGAGACATTTTTCTTTGTCTCATTTAGGCAGCTTCTCTGTGTTTATTTCTGGGTAGAGCTACTATGTCTCCTAGGCTTGGTAGAGTGGCCTAATGTAGTAGATGTCTTGTGGGGTCCAGTGGCACAGCCTACCCATTCACCAGAGCTGGGCATTCCAGTTACACCCTCTTTTATGTGGGCAGTGTATACCCTCCTGTTGTAGTTGAGCTGTGATTGCCTTTGGCACATCAGTGGGAGGGATTTTACAGCTAGGTCAATTGGCAGCAAGGACTGGCTGTGATCACTGTGGAGGATCAGCTGTGCAGGGGCCCACCTCATGGAGAGCAAGACTTACTTCAGTAGGGCTCTGGTGCCCACGGAGTCTGCCCCTTAAGTGTGTCACTTGTGGAGGTGGTTGAGTGGTACTTTGATATGGTCTGATGGTGTCTACCAGTTGCATTGGCTCTGGGGCCTCCTGGGAGGTACAGGCCAAGGTGATCTGCGACCTATGCCCTGCTCAGGGCCACAGTGCTACAAAGGGATCTGCAGATGGCTGCCACTTGTGTTGTGCTTGGAGGTGTCCAGGAGAGGACAAGCTGCAAACCAAGGCCTACTGCTGCTAGTGCCGGGCCTGGGGTCACTTAAAGAGAGGTAGGGGGCTCGCTGAGGCCAGATGCTGCTTTTTTGAGTGGTTTTAGGAAAGTCTGAAGCATGAGCTAAGACAAGCCATTTGAATGGGAAAGCCACTGGAAACAGCTTGGGTGGGCCCACACGTTGGGTGGGGTGATGTCTTGGGATCACCAGGGTGGGATGAACAGTGATAGCCAGGTTGATGGAGAGTCAGGTATGGTACCTGCCTGCTGGCTCTGTGGGGAAAAGGATCAGAAAAAGAACAATGGCCTCTGCTACCACTTCTCTCTGGGAGAAAGCTGCCCCTACAGCTCTTACCCTGATACCAGACAATTTAGTTCCTCCTCATATGTCACCAGTGCCTTTCAAGCTGCTGCCCCAGCACTGGAGCTTAGAGAGAGTGTCAGAGTAAGTCTCTGTGTAGTTCCTTTAAGAGGAATGCCTGGGACTCCAGCATCCCTCTGTCTCCCTCAGCATCAATTCCCACTGGTTTTTATAGCCAGAAGTTATGGGGACTTCGCTTCTTGCCACTGGAACCCTGGACTGGGGAGCCTGGCATGGGGCTGGGAACCATAGGTCCTCAGGGGGGAACCTATACAGCCAAGATATCTATCCTGATTTTTATCTACCACAGGTGGGTGTGAGTTCAGCCCCTTCTGTTCTCTGCCCCTCCTACCATTTTCAATGTGGCATCTTCTTTATATCCTTAGTTGTAGAACTTCTGTTCAGCTAGATTTCAGGTGGTTCTGAAAGATGATTGTTCTGTAGTATAGTTGTAATTTTGATGTGGGTTATGGGAGGATGTGAGTACTGCATTTACCTTCGTGACTGTATTGATTGGAAGCCAATCATTACACATTTTTGATACTTAATGTGTAAGAACCAGTTTTTTCACATCATGGTGACTGATTAGGGAGAAAACATCAGCTAAACCATAAAATGACTAACAGTTTTGATAACACTATAAGCTGGTAAGTGATGCCTGATTTCTAGTGTGTTATAGTATACTGATCATAAAGAAATATGGTGTCATAATCTGCAGGGGGATAGAAAATTGTCTCTCTTAGTTGAAGCACCTTAGAAACTAAATGAATGTCTCACAAAGAAACTATAAAATAATTCAGTTCTTAAAAATGGTACAGTTTAGCTATAATTTTATATTTGTAGTATAATATAAAATGTTCATTTAATTTTTGTAGACATCCTTTTGCTGATTTTGATCCTCTTATATTTACTGTGTCACTTATCGCTAGAAAGTAATTTTTTATTACCAGCTTTTTTTTATTTGTGTGTCTCCTCCATCCCCTGTTGTTGTTGGTTTTTAAAGTATCTTACTCCACTTACTATCTTTAAAACATTTAAAAGATAAATTAGAAGTTATTAATATCTGAACTAAAGTTTATCTGGTTGGGTTGGGCCAGTCCTTTAAAATAACTGTAGTCAGGATGCCAGTATAACATCATGTTTGTTTGTTTTTTCAGGGGATTTGCCTGTAATGCTAAGCTTGCTTTTAGTTAAAAAGCTGAGAAGTGATTGTCTGTAATTCTTTGCCTCTGAGAATTTCCATTGGGTCATTTTAATGACTGTCTTTTGTTAAAGTTGACAAAAATACTTTAGTCTGCTTTTTCTAAATAGTGTTAACATAGAGATTTTAAATAATTTGTCTGATTTTGATAGTTTGGTTATTAATTCATTTTGGGGGGATTAGTTTGGTAAAGGACAATAAATGTTAGCTTTGTTGGAAAGGGCTTCGTGGCTCACCATTTTAACACTTTACTCTGGATCTCTCACAGAATCCTGGTGCATCACAGAAGCTGGGAATTCTGATGTTCCATTGAAATCACAATGGAAAGTCTTGACTTGACCGGTAAGAACAGCACTGCAGGTGGCATCTCCTTCCTCACCCCCAAGCAGTGGAGCAGTTCAGTTGAGGACCATGTGCCCTCAGAGCTGATCTCAACTTTTTCTTATCTGAAGGATTGACCTTCCTTATTGATCAGGGAAGTGTGATATTGTGTATTTTTTTTCCTTGTCAGTTTTATATACATTTTTAAGTGACATTTTAAACTACATCATCAAGTAAGTTAAATTTTTCTTTAAAATTATGAATTTATATAAATTAACTATTTCAAAGTCTCTAAGTTATCACTCCATAGTAATGTACTGTTGGTGAAAAGTCAGTTTAAGTCCTGAATGTCTAGAGGTAATATAACTAAATATTAAATTGGTCTATTCCGCAAAAGCTATTTTTTATACTGCCTTAGGCTATAATTGCAAAATGAATCAGTATCAAAGCATTATGGAGGTGTTTTTTTGTTTTTTTTTTAACCTATTAAATACAGTAGAAGTGTGGGAAAAAAATCATGAAACTGTTTTGAATATGAAAACCACACCATGAAGAAAAAGTTGAGATTGTAAAATACATGTGACAAATTATGTCAAACCCTGAAACTCACCAATGCTGCAACTGTCCTCTTGTATGAAAATTATTTCAAAGTTGTTTCTTTAGGAAAAAGGTTTTTTAGGTTTAAATATGGCAATAATATATTAAGATTAATTTTAAAAATGGTTACTTAATGCATTCAGTTTTCTCATTTGAGAATAAAATGTGTGATTGCTCTATTGATGCCTGAGCACTTTATGGTGAACTGATGCTGTATAAGACCAGAGAATGTGATATCAATTAAAATGAACAAATAGGGAAAATATGGTTTAGTTCATTTTTAGGACATGAACTTATTTTTAAATAATTGATTAAAATCTTGTCTTTTCTGTTATTAACTATTTTCATTTGTTAGCTTATTAAATCTATCTAGAATATCTATGTTTATCTTCTTGTTTTAGTAACTGTATGATTAAATGTTATTTTTATTGTGTGAGCATAAATACAAGGTCTTTGAACCATTCTTCTGAACGTCATTGTGCATAGTAAACATAGCAAATGTGTACTTGAATGTGTACTTACTAGGATTTTTAACACCCAACAAAATTTTAATGCCAATGGAGAAGATTGGGATTTAGTTACCATTTTTCCTCCTTTCTGTGCTATTCTTTATGGAAAAATTAATTAGAAAAACACATTCTGGATTTATGAATGCCAGTTAGCATATCGTTGATTGTGGTTTTACTGGATCAGCAAAGTAGACTATAGAATATTTGAATATTGATACTGAAATTTCAAATAAGGAAGTTGAGCATAGTGAGGTTTACAGAAAATTCCATTTCTAGCAGTATTCTGAATTTGCTAAACAGATATATAAAAAGTAAAGCAGGACACTATCTGATCAGTTCAGAAAATGAAATTGTTAATCAGCATTAGTACAACAGTGTTGACTTTTAAGTAGCTATCTGATATATGATTTCCGAATATTAATCAGATTATTTCAATAAAATATTTTTATTGACATAAATTCAAATTTCTGATAAAATTTAAGGAGATCAATTATCTAACACCATATGCTTCTAGCTTACATATATGTACATCTTAAATGCAATATGAACTACAAAACAGAAAAGATGCCATTCAAAACCAGGACTAATTTAGGAAACAAATCCTGGAAAATGTTTCATGGTAAAAGGATGCCAGGGTCCAATAAATCTATGAGACATGCTGTAGCATTCAGTTTAGGCAAAAGTTTTATTTCATTATCCAAAGAGTTCCCATTCCCAAATCTTAGTGGTGAGTAGCAGTAAAAGTTTCTCATGTTTATGTTCTGATGGGTCCACTGTCACTCTGCCCCATGTCCTCTTTGTTCCTGGACCAATGCTGAAGGAGCAACCTCTCTGGGATGTACAAGAATTGTGGCAGAAGGAGAAAGGGATGGTAGTGGAATGGTGACTCTTAAAACTGCTGCTTATAAGTGGCACTGCCCCTTGTTTCCTTGGCCAAAGCATGTCACATGACCAACTCTCATGTTATGGGGTAGGAATGGCCTTTTAAGAGGGGTGGGGTAGGGAAAGACTGGTAGGGTGGCACAGTGCATATTTTTACTATAATATCTAATATAAATAATCCCATTTGTAGCTCTTCTAAAAAGACAGTGCACATAGTATATTTAGCTTCCAAGAAGTTCTGTAGTAAATGTATCTGTTTAACATGTAAAATTATTTGACCATGAATCCTTTTGTTGGTACATGGAACACAGTGAGCTGTGATACACTGTGACAAGATTTAAGGAATGAGGAATTGATACAATTTGAATTTCTTGATATTTTGAACATTAGGACTTTTTACCATGCAGTGAGGGTTTCTAGTATATATAATAGAATTACATTATTGTTTTTATAGGTGGTTTTAAAATAAATGAAAATTACTGTAGACTGGACCATCTGTAGTTTATATCCAGGATTAGAGAAGGGAAATCATGATACTCATACTAATTTCTTGCGTATGTTTAATAGGTTATATAGAACTTTGGTAAATGTCATCAAATTTGATATAGTAAGAGAATGAGAAAATGGGCACTTTTTTCCCCCCTGTAGAATATAATAATTTTACCAGATAATAGTACCCAAATACCTTCACTTAAGATCAGTTTTAAGAATTGTTCTAGAGAGAAAGAATGCAGACACTGTAGAGGTTAACAGTGGTATACCAGGAGTTTTCTCAGACACTCCACCTGAGGTCATATTCATTGTACATTGCTTTATTGGCTCCTAAGTCTTCCAGACAGTTACTAGGTACATAGAACTCCTCAGCCAACACTGGTTTAATTAATTCCACAGGTATTGTAAAACATTGCTCCCAGACATGTGTGGATAAAGATGATGTAAAAAATCTAAGAGTATTTAAACAATGCTTTATTTGATAGTTTATAATTTCTTTCTTATATTTTACGTTGTAGAAAAAGTTCAGTAAACTGAAAATGCATTTTATTTTATTTTTTCAATTAATTAATTTATTTTTGTTACAGATGTTTCTCCTTTTCCCCCCATTAATTCACCCCCACTCCCTTCCTGCCCTGTCCCCAGCTTTGTTGTTCATGTCCACTGTTCATGCATACATGCATATAAGTTCTGTGGTTTATCTCTCCCCCACTACCCCTCTTCTCAGGATTGTCAGTCTGTACCCCACTTCCACGTCTCTGGGACTACACCATTCCTCAGACTGTTATGTTCATTATATTCCACAAATAAGTGAGACCATATGATACTTGTCTCTCTGTTTGGCTTGTTTCACTTAGGATACTACTTTCCAGGTCCCTCCATGTTGTCTCAAAGGAAAAGAGATCTTTCTTACAGCTGCATAGTACTCCATTGTGTATATGTACCACTGCTTTTTTATCCATTCGTCTACTGATGGACATTTGGGCTGTTTCCAGATCTTAGCTATTGTAAACAGTGCTGCTATGAACATGGGGGTACATATATTCTTTCTGATTGCTGTTTCAGGCTTCTTAGGGTATATTCCTGGAAGTGGGGTCACTGGGTCAAATGGAAGTTTAATTTTTAATTTTTTGAGGTAACACCATATTGTTTTCCATAGTGGCTGCACCAGTCTGCATTCCCACCAGCAGTGTACTAGAGTCCCCTTTTCTCCACACCCTCACCAATACTTGTTGTTTGATGATTTGTTGATGGCGGCCATTCTGACAGGTGTGACGTGATACCTCATTGTTGTTTTAATTTGCATCTCTCTGATGATTAGTGATGTGGAGCATTTCTTCATATGTCTCTTAGCCATTTGTATGTCCTGTTTGGAGAGATGTCTGTTTAGTTCCTCTGCCCATTTTTTAATTGGGTTCTTTGTGTTCCTTTTGTTGAGTTGTATGAGCACTCTATATATTTTGGAAATTAACCCCTTATCTGATGTATCATTGATAATGATGCTCTCCCATATAGTGGGTCCCCTTTCCATTTTGATGGTTGTTTCTTTTGCTGTACAGAGCTTTTTAGTTTGATGTAGTCCTATGTGTTCATTTTCTCCTGTTTCTTAGGTGATGTATCAGTGAAAATTCTGCTGCGTATGATATCTCAAATTTTGTGGCCTACATTTTCTTCTAGGATTTTTATGGATTCATGAGTCACATTTAAGTCTTTTATCCATTTTGAGTTTATTCTTGTGTAGGGTGTAAGTTGCTGATCTAGTTTTATTTTTTTGCATGTAGCTGTCCAATTTTCCCAACACCATGTATTAAAGAGGCTGTTTTTAGTCTACTGTATGCTCTTGCCACCTTTGTCAAATGTTAATTGAGCATATTGCCTTGAGTCCATTACTGGGTTCTCTGTTCTGTTCCACTGGTCCATATGCCTGTTCTTGTGCCAGTACCAGGCTGTTTTGATTACAGTGGCTTTGTAGTATAACCTGAAATCTGGCAATGTGATCCCTCCAACTTTGTTCTTTTTCAAGATTGCTATGGCTATTTGAGATCTGTTTTGGTCCCATATGAACTTTTGAAGTATTTGTCCTAGTTCTTTGAAGTTTGTCATTGGTATTTTGATGGAGATTGCATTGAATCTATAGATTGCTTTGGGTAGTATGGCCATTTTAATGATGTTAATTCTTCCAATCCATGAACAAGGTATGTGCTTTCACTTTTTTATATATTCCTTTGTTTCTTTTTTCAATGACCTGTAGTTTTCTGCAAATAGGTTCTTTATTTCTTTGGGTAAGTTTATTCCTAGGTATCTTAATTTTTTCTGCTGTGATGGTAAATGGGATGTTTTTTTAGTTTCTCTTTCTGTGAGTTCATCAGTGGTGTGTAAGAATGCCGTGGATTTCTTGACGTTAATTTTGTATCCTGCTACTTTGTCAAATTCATTTATTAAGTCTAATAAATTTTTGATGGAGTGTTTGGGGTTTCTACATATAGTATCATGTCATCTGTGAATAATGACAGTTTCACTTCCTCCTTTCCAATATGGATG